ATATATATATATATATATATATATATATATATATATATATATATATATATATACACACACCAACACACACAAAAACACATACAGAAAAACATATTTTTAGTTCTAATAGTTCAGGACATCTGCACTTTCATTTGATTCTTCTCTGTTTCTCATTCCTTGCTTTATGGGACTTCAGTCCTTCTTCTAGAAGCCTGATACTAACTGTCCTAGCAGTGCACTTCACACCTGCACTTAATGTTTCCCATTCCTTTTGAAGGTCACTTAATGTCATCCTACGATTCATGAAAAACTTTAAAACTTAAAAAGCATCCGCCCTTTACCTGACTGGCTTCTGCTCGTTCCCAGTGTCTCCTGCTTTACTTTGTTCTTGTGTGCTGCTGTCTTAGAAATTTTGAACCTGGAAGCAACCTGCTGCTCAGCACAGCCTTCTGCCAGCAGGATTAAACCAGGATTTAAAAATGCAGATTTATTTCAAAATAAAGAATGATCACTTATTTTTTCTACAGCTGTGTGGAAATTAAGCAGCTGTGTTAATGTGGCAATATTATCATTGGCTAATCCCAAAAGGCATTCTGTTCTTCTTCTGTAATACGTGTAACTGCATATAATACAATTTATTGCAAAAAGATTTTTTTTGAGTGTTTCTTGATGCTGTTTTTATTCATTCATTTGTTCATTAACTCATTCATTTTCATTCATTTAATTTGCCTGCTGACACCCAGGTGTGGTGATGACAGGCCTATAGTGGCTTCTTATGTGAAGCAAACTGTAATGGAGGTAGAAACATTTTGACTATTTTAGTCTATTAATTTGATATTAACAATTACCATATACAACACAAAATATAGTATAAATATATTCATTTTATTTATAATGGTATTTACATTAAGCTTATCCTAAAAAGTATATGTATAATAACAATAGGTGGAACACAAGTGCACAAAATAAAACAAACCTAAAAACCAGCCTAAAACCCTTCGATCCTTCACAGAAAGCTTTTGCTTTCCATGAAAGTAACTCAAACATGAGTATTAAAGTTTAAGTCTTCTAATGGAAGACAATCCCCCTTGTCAATTAACATTACTTCACACACATTCAAAAGTGGCAGTGTCAATAATACAGAGATTTTCATATACAAAAATAAGTTTTCTTGTCGTTCAGTGTGATGTATAATACAAACACAAACATAAAAAATTACATCGATTTAAAATATAGGCTAATGTAAGAGGTTGGCATTGTTTTCTGCAAAACCTGGATACAGTCTTTTAAGTCCTAGCATCACTGGAAGTCCTGGGACTCCAAAATTCATCTGGTGTAAAAATTCGACATTCTTAGGCCTTTAATTAGATTGACTTAATTGCACTTAGATTCGCTATGAAGAGTGGCCGTCCGTTAAACCTTATCTTCTGAGTCTTGGTGATAGTGAAATGAGGTACTCTGGTCGTTTATTCTCCTGCTACAACTTTTTGCACTTGGAAAAGCTTAAATGGGCAAAATTGCATTATGATTAGATTCTGCATATTATGAACGAATTTATCCATTAATACATTTGTAAAATATCCCGCTTGCATTTGCAAATTCAAATGCACGTGTGACTGATTATTAATTGGTATTTACCTGATCAGTATCTGTCAAACCAGGTAGTAAAATTTAACAACTCCTGCTCCTCGTAGCTTAGAGTCTCATAGCCTGCTTCGTCTGAGGAATAAGTGGAGTGAGGCGATTCTGGTTCAGCGGAACAGCTGTTCGAATGAGTAGGAGACGGCACCCCGCAGTGGAAAGCCGCTGACACCGCGTCGTGTTCGTCCAGGAGCTGCTGGAGCGCACGGATATACTCCACAGCTGACCTCAGTGTTTCCACTTTGCTCATCTTCTTGTTAGTCGCCCCGTTGGGCACGTGCTGGCGCAAGGTCTGGAAGCCTATGTTGACCTGTTTGACCCGGTTCCTCTCCCGCTCGTTGCGCCGCGCCACGGCCATCGGCTGCTGTTGAGGGATGTCGTATCCCAGTCCGTTGAAGCTGAGCCTCCGTTTGCACCTGAGGAGCTCGGGCGTACTAGAACGCTGTCTTTTCAGCACTTTGCTTTTGCTTTGATGGACCCCAGTGTTGGTGACGCTGCACGTTTCTTCCGAGGATTGCAATGCGATTTTGGCGCAGTGTTGCCCAAGTCCAAAAGAATATACACTATGTATTATCTGTGCTGTTGTGACAGTAGTGCTTGCCATCTCTTTTTAAAATCTAAATTACTTAAATATAATAGTTGCACAGACACAGTGCTTTGCCTTCGTTTCTTTCGGTTTGGACGTGTTCCTGCTCCAGAGAAAGAAGTGAGATTCGAGATTTGTATAGTATCAACCCCACTAGGGGATGTGTGACAGCCTTTAGCCGCACTCCTCTTTTCTATACGCGTCCCACAGCCCACCCCTTTCGAACAGCAAGCTTTTTTAAAAGTCCCCGCCCCGCTGTGTGCCTCTTCAGTTCATTGGTTTCGTGAGCCAGGCGCGTGGCTCTGTTCGCTTAATAATAAACAATGCAAACAATGCAGAAACTTCGCAGCGGCTGGGCCACGCGCTTATCTAATTTACATTCCAATATACGTAGTCTGCGAGCCGATTCAAACTTTCAGTAACCGGTAGAAGGGGGAAATAAACATAAAAACTGAATGATTTGGTTCTTGCAAATGCCTTTTGAATCTGACAATGCACCCCTGGTTGCACATTAATAGTGCATTTTTTTCACCCCTCAACCTTCGCTTCAACGATCACTCGTGTCAGGTTTATATAAATTTCAATATAGCAGGAGCGCTCCCCTAATCTGCTCTATAACTACCCATTTTGAAAATGTGTAACTATATAATATTTTTCGCTAAACATTTGACATTACACGTATGCTTTCCAAATGAAAACTAGACCAGAAAATTAGTTAAATTTTTCTGTAACCCCCGCCCCCCTTTAGTTTCCTTTAATAATTCGATCCTGCTTTTTGAGTGCACATCCAGTAGCAACGCGCCACTCTCAATTTCACTGCAATCGGACATTACCCACTCTGTTATAACTTATTATATTGTATATAGGTATCATGCTAGAAATTCTGATTGTGTATTAGGGAAAAAGACGATGTAAACAAACATGCACAGATAGCATCCTCTTGCGGTTTTGCAATGGCTTTGCTGGGATACGTCGTTGGTTTTCGACGTACATTTCTAAGGTATTTTCGGTTTTTTTGTTTAACTTTTGGAAGTAAATGGTATTAATGCCACTGTAGTATTAGTAGGCTAGCTGGAATTAAAATAGTATCTGGATAAAATTATGGTGCTATATTACAGTATATTTATAGCTACCATAATATACCGTAAATCGTGTTTTTTGTCTAAAATGTATAATCAAAATAGGTGTTGAGAAAATAAAGCTAATGTAGATGTCATATATACAAGACGTTTTTACGGCTAACGCGCCACATAGTGTTATTCATAGAAATTTATTACTGCTGCTATTTTGTTTGCCGGCGATATTAATTCTTTCGTTTTTCTGCAACTGCTTGTCTTATTCAGGGTCACGGGGATAATATTAATCAAAACAGACAATTCTTTTTTAGAAGAAAGTGGCCAACTATTGAATATATGTTACACCTTCAATGAAAGCTTGAAAAGAAAAACTGCCTCAATAGCAGATTACCGCAGAGGTCGACTATTCTTTAATCAAGGTCAGTGTATCATCTTGTCAAGTTTGAAAAAAGGATTTAATAGAGCTGAAGTTCATGGATATACAAAATGGTGAGCTGGTCACATTAACATAAAAGCTATTGAATAACAGGCAATTTATAATCCTGAAGGATTTATATAGAATAAAGCAATTGTTTGCGGTAGGTAATCAGTTTTTCAGCGTCATATATGTTGGCGTTAAGTCTCATTTTCTTGATGACAGAATGAGGAAGCAATCTTACTTGTTCACCTTGTTCTTGAATGACATTTTGGTTTCAATAGGGAGAATTTTGAATAATTTTAATTTGATGAATTCCGGAAAATAAGTCATATTAAATGCAATATTTGATGGCACTCCATTTAGCTATTTATTATCATGACATGGCATGGTGCATGCAGGAATAGGGTGACGATCCACTTGCAGTTCTAAGATAAACAAGGATTTATTGAATTAAATTGAACACACTAGGGAAAGGAACAAATTAAAAGGACCACACAGAGTCAAAAACTAAAATTAGAACCAACTAAAGAAACCATAAAACAATAACCAGGGAACAGAGAAAGACAGTGAGCAGCACTAAGAAACAAACAGAACTCCTAACACACATGAAGAGAGTGGACACAGGCACTTAAACACATACAGGCAAGCAAGGCAAACAAATTATTAACAAATTAACAAATCAGAGGCACAGGGCAACAAACAAGCAACAGATGAAACAAATTAACACTAACATGCACAGAAACGAAAGGAACTAAACAGATACTGAAATTAAGCAACATAACCATTGACTGGTAATACGACACTAAGATAATAAACATGGAACAGGAATACAACACTAAGATAATAAACATGGAACAGAAATACAAAACAAAACCAGAACAGAATACAAGCAGGGCAATCTTTCAAAGGAGACAGATAGAAAAAACACAGGAGAATGGAAACCCATTGATTATAAATAGACCAGCCTCGAACCCATGACTAAGAGAGATCTAGTCTTTGCCACACGCTCACGCTATCTGGCAATTCAGGGAACAGTAAAACACACTTGGGATGTAGACACATTAGGGCTGACAGGGAGGAGACACAAAGGGCAGGGTCGGGCAGGCACTGACCCAGACAATTTATAAAGTGGTATAAATATATATCCTGCAATATGCAATTATCTCCTCCTTCTCTTCATTGATCTGTCTTACACACTTTTTATACAGTTCAGGGTCCTGTAGGGCAGGGCTAGAATGTATTCCAAGAACCACAGTGCAGAAGGCAAGGCACGAACTGTATGGGGCACTAGTCCACTGCAGGGTGCAAGCACTGGGTCAATTTTGAGGTACCAGTTGTTCTGACTGCATGTCTTTGGACTACAAAAAGAAAACCAAGTACCCAGAGGAGAGCTGCTCAACATAGAGACTGCAAAGATGACGCACACTGTGCTCCATCTCATTTATTTGATCCATTTAATTCATGTATAATAACTCTGAATTAATTGATTAATATTATGTATATAATATCTGGCAGGATGAGGGACGCAGGATTAGACATGAAAAACAAACAAAAAGAGTTTTATTTATCTCAAAAGTACAAAACTGAAAACAACCAGGATCTTTTATAAAAAAACAAAAATGGGAGCCATGGAGGAAGGCAAACCATGAGCAATACTAGGTAATAACATTAATGATAGATCTGGAAAACACAGGCCTAAGAAGCACTTAAATACAACAATCAACGAGGGAGCAAACAATAGGCAACTGAACGTGATTAACACAAGGGTAGGAAGGAGCGGTAAGACAAACGTGCTAGTCGTAGCTAGTTAGAACCACGCCAGGGAGGATACAGGAGGGTCAAGCGGATATGGTGGGTAGGACATGATATGCTACATGTTCTGCCAAGCAGATTGTGCTCATTTTGAGGAAATGTATATTTTGCAGCATGGACAATATCCCCTTGGGAATTTTCCTGGATTTCCAGGATATCATTAATTTTTTTTCCCTCTGTAAATCCAGGAACTAATTATTTGCATCTGATGCCAGATTTTCTCATCTTAAGTTTTTGAGTTTAAACCTCTGCAGCCACAGATGACAGGAGTCAAACCCACAGCCCTGGTGATGTGAAGTCATCATGCCACAGTGCTAGTTGTGTGTCTTTCCTAACCATCTTCCAGCTGCTTATCCTGACCTGAGTCTTTCGGATTTTCCATTTTATTCATTCACCATCTGGTTTTTGGCATTTATTAAACAAAACATTGTACACTAACATGTATAACATTATATAATGTTATGTTTGATGTTCTTCTTTCACCTCAGGTCATAGTACTTCTGTAATACAAATTTCTGTAGTACAACACAATGTCCACAACTAAGGGTAATCTCAACTATTCATGTGAACAGAACAATGCAGTCTTTTCTCAGAGGGCATCATAGCCCCATCATTTCCCATTTAGCATTGAACTGTCCAAATATGTACTGGAAGTCATGGTCAGATAAGGCCAAAATAACTACTGCAAATAGCATGGCTGGCACCCCCCAAACCAGACGCCTACAAAAACATGGCTGCGATTTGATATTTTATTCATGAAAATCACAAATTTGTCAAGGTGCATCCTCAGCTGAGGCCACCACCCTCTCTAAATAACTTTGACTTTGTGTCAAGTATACAGACTCAACTCTAATTACAGTCATACAGGGGCAAAATGTGCAAAAACTACTTAAGGTATCAATAAAAGCCAGCATACCCCACCCAGAATAGGGTTACCAGGATCCACCCCTGGAGCTGAACCAACATCTTAGCATAAAGGTTATATTGTATCTATCTCTGAACTGTCATCGGCAGCCTTCATCCAAAAATCCTGGGTGGGCCAGAAAGTTTTAATTTAATTAAAACAAGCGAGTAGAGCAAGCTTTCGTCCCAGAATAATTACAAAGCTGTAGATCGTTTCCTTGTGCATAAAAACAATATACCTCATCTATTGCCCTGCCCCTTTTTACTTTAACACCCATGTCACTGTTTACACAGCCCATAAAGTGTGAGGGACTGTACCAGGGTCTACTGCCCTGTGCTGCCTGGGATAGACTTATGGTCCCCTGTGACTCTGACTAGGATAAGCATGATAAAATGGATGGATGGATGAATGGTTTACAGTCTATTGAAAAAAAAAATCTGTAATTTTTTTTTTTTTATAAAATCACACGTAATCACACCTAGTTATTGCAGTAATTCACTGAATGTAATGTTTATAGGAGTTTGCAATAAATACATGCTTTTTGTGCAATCAGTAATTAAAATAGCTGTCATCCTAGTAGACAAAGTACACATGCATTGGACAAGGTACAAATGGGGGCTCCTCTTTACATCCACAATGGCTTCCTTTTGCAGTGCTTCTCTTAATTGGTTGAAGCATAAAGAGAGATGGAATGCATGTTTGTATTGTGCTGTGTGTACTCAGTTTCAGGAATATGAGCCATTCACAAATTTTGCAAGCAACATAACAGGTCACAAAATAATTTAAACAGTTCTGTTAATCATTTTTAAATATTCAAAACTTTAAATATTGCAAGACCATTCTCACAATTATGATACCATTATGCAGATGTGGTTCCTTGGATTGTCTTTTGGTAGCCATATTTGATGCATCTTCTAGTAGGTTGCATCAAAGGCCAGGAAATGAGTCTGAAGATGAGCTTATAGCAGCCCAGATCCATTTATTAGCACAGTTGTCATTAGATGCCATTTCCAAAATAGATATGAGGTACATAAAAGACAATAGTAGCACATGGGCTAATAGACAAGATAAGACAAACCCATGTGCAGAGGGAAGTGAGAGTCCTGGGGTGAGCTGATAAAGAGGCTGAAGTCATTTCATGTAAAGCCGTGTGGGGTGTCACTGTTAGAGGCTCGGGAGACACTTTCAAAGTGGCTTTGGGAAGCAGAGCTCAGCTACTGGGGCGCCTTGCTGGGTCAGGGAGATTCACACAAACACGCCTTCGGGGTTGAGGCTAGAAATAATAGGATCGAGCAGGTTCCGCGGGTGACCCAGCAGGTTCCGCGGGTGACCCAGAAGCCGCTTGGCCGTTGATTGAGGGGGCAGTGCCGCATAACATGAGCCAGAACCTGTCAGACACACAAAGGGCAATAAAGAGGGCATCACTTTTTATGCTCTATGGTCAGGGGGGGGTGAGCTGAATGAAAAAGAAGCTGAACAGTAAAATTAAATGAATAGAACACCAAGCTTCGATATTCTGTGAATTTCTGTGAAGGAAATGATCACATGTGGGATTTTAAGAAAATGTATTAATCAATAGTTGCATCTTATGTATACTCTGGCGCTCACTAGAGCTGGGTTTCGCAACTACTGGACTCTAGTGGTCCGTGGATCTATATTAGGTCCATTTAATGGGCTGTCACAGGGACCCAGTTACTGAGGGGAATCCCGCCCAGCTGAGCCTTGTGATATGAAAGGTTGGGAATAACAGTTGAAATATAGTGTAGGTATCTATATGCCAATGTCCACCTGTTCTCATTCAAGCACCCACCCTTGGCAACTTCAGACATCTTTGGGTTTTAAGCATACCATTGTAGGATCCTTTAGGGAGGAGATGCATCTTTTCAATTTTCTCCAGATGTTCTAGGTCTGTGTGAATGTGGGTTCCCGTCTGCTGGATGAACTGCTGCAGGTTGCATTGTCGCAGCTCCTTGTTCAGCTTGTCCATTTCCTCTGTCTTAGCCTGGGGGGGGAGTTGCATGAAATTTTTTGGTCTGTTACTACAGGAGGCTCTACCTCTATGGCAGTCTAGTTAGGGTGACCAGATAATCCATGTCAGGGAGGACACTTTGAGCTACAACACAGATTTATAAACTACTATTTCAATTAACAGGACCTGGATTTCACTTAACCACTGAGTTCTTGCTCAGTGCTGATTGGTCAGTCTCATATAATCATGCATGTATCACTAATGTTAATGTGAAAGAGCTGGATGAGTCTTTCAGTCAAGGAAACAAACCAGTCAAAGCACAAATGGAACTGAACTTTTTAGCCTTTCAGTTTCAAAGTAATTGGTAAAACTTAATGTATCGCAAAGTGTCATCCCTGAAATGATACCATAAGACTGAGTGACATACAGTTCTTCAAGATTTTTGACAAATCGTTATGAGAAAAAAAATGTGGTGGCTCAGTATTACCAGAAATAATTGCAATATTGTGTTCACCCAGTTTCTGTTCCTGAATGCATTTACAATTCGGCCACATGGGGGCAGTGGTTACCAACAACACACTGAATTTTGGCGTTAAAAATAAGACATTTTGCGTTTTCTTCCTGCATTTCATATCTTTCTTGTTTCAAAATGTACAATCAAAACCACAGATAATAAACAAAGTAAAATCCTCATTATGTGTCGCTGAATTAAGGCTGGTTACCGAACTTCGGTACTTTTGTGGTACCGACCGAAATCCTACCGAGGATCGAAAACTTAATCTTCTGTCGGTGCCAAATTCCGATACCCGAACAGTAAATCTCAGTGACTGTGATCTAATAAGCACGCAGCATATTTGTGTAAAGATCTAACGTCGCTGAAACGTATTACCATGATAACGTTATGTCGTTTTTTATTTTGTGGACAGATTTATCTATGAATTATGAACATATCGCGGGTCGTATAAATAAAATCAGGGCTATCAAGTCTCACAAATTGCCCGTGAGACACATTTCAACCAGTTCACACGCCACACCTTGTGTTGAGATTAAGGGATAATGCCCACCAAGGTTTCCCGTTATATAAAATTTATAGATGAGGCGCAGGCATAGGAAGTATAGATCTTTGCAGAGTTCAGAGCTGTCCCAAGTTTATACAGCGTTAACAGCCACCTACCAGCTAATCATATAATTAGTTTTCTGCAAGCACGCCATTACATGGATGCGCACACATACGGCGTGGAGACAAGGTGGGCGTGGCAGAGCAAGATCCGATGAATGTGGTAGGCAGGGCTCTGAACTGTCACGCATTGACCATGACACCCGCTGCGCCCCAACTTTTGATTAAACTTGGGATTCTAACCATCCCCCAGCTATGCCACTGTGCCACCCCTAAATACATCCATCCATCCATTTTCTATAGCCACCGGTCCTATTCAGGATCGTGGGGGTCCAGAGCCTCTCTCAGAAGCTACAATCACAAGGCAAGGAATGATGCAGGATGGGGAACCAACTCATAACAGGGCACACACACCATTTGGCAACTCCAGTAACTTTAGCCAGTTTTTGGATTGTGGAGGGAAACCAGAAAACTCAGAGGAAACCCTACGACAACACAGGGAGAACATGCAAGCTCCACATACGTGGAACCAGGGTGGAGACTCAAACCCTGGTCCCAGAGGTGTGAGACAGCACTGTGCCACACCTTCCTAAACACAGTATGTATGTTTATTTATAGACGATTTTTAAATGAAACATTAAAAGTATGTATCCAATGAATTTACAGAGTACTGTCATGTGACCATGCAGTTTCTCTTCTAAAGAGTCACATAAGAGGTATGCAGCCCTTTTTGTGAATTAGCTGCTTACCTGCAGCAGAGCCTCTGTGCTCCCAAGAACTTTTTCAAGCTCTGTAAGAGAAGACTCCAGCTCCTCTCCATGCTTCTGCTCGCTGTTTAGCTCCACCTTAACAGACCCAAATGACTCCTCAAGGTTTGACAGTGCTACGAAGGACTGACGTCTGATGTCCTCCAGCTCAATCTCCTTCTCCAGATGCCCAGTGTGGACTGTTAGGTCCTGCAGGCTGGTATCGTAACTGTCCAGCATTTGGTGCAGTTTCCTCAGCTTGTGGTTCAAGGCAAGTTCCTGATCTTCCTCTGTGCATAGCTTTTGCTCCAGTTTTGCCTCTAGCTTTGTCTCTGGTAGCTCACAGTCAGAAGCAGTCATCTGTTCCCAGACAAGCATCTCCTGCTCCGTTGCATTCAGATGGACCTCCAGGTCATGCAGCCTTGTTTGCTGCTGCAGAACTTGCTGGAAAATCTCGTCCTTGGACACAGTGACAGACGAGCAAGGGGGAGGTGTGAAAGCTGACCTTTTCGAATGCTTGGGCTTCTTTTTAAGTGAGCTAGAGTGACCCAGGTTGAATGTGTGAGACCGTCTGGGTTCCTTGTGTTTGTGAAGTTCTAACACATGTAGTTTGGGGCTGGTAATTCCTTTTTCCGAAACTGTTCTGTCCTGATTAGTGGGACCAATGCGGCGCAAGAAGAACTGGATGTCACTGGCTTGCTGACCTAGCTTTGTCATGGAGTCCAGCAGCTTCTCATTAGCCAGAAGCTGCCTTTCATAGTCTCTCAGCCTCTGGATCAGAACATATCGACCCGTCTGACCTTATGTGAGCAGAAAAAGTAATGGTCAGTATAATGGTGAAACCATCAGCTAAGGAATGATCTAAGGAACAGGAATGAATTTTCCAGTCCTGGACGACATACACCTTGTTCAATAACTAATACTTTCTGTGATACAGGTACACAGAGATGAGATTTTAAACTGAAAAACAGAATACCAGCAGAAAGCAAAAAGTTGGGCTTACCCATGGCTTTGGCGAGGGTGATGACTACATCCTGACAGGAGGTCTTCTCAGACAGACCACACACCACCCGTAACAGCCCATCCACCCACACCTTCAGCTCCATCGCCACCCTACAGCTTCGCCCACGATCACGGCAGCATGACAACAGTACCTTCAAAAAGAGCACCCTCTCTCTTCCAAGCCCCTTTCTACTGTAGCAGTGTCTATTGAGAGTGAAGGAAAATGTAAATGTTACATTAATATTATTCAAAATCATTCCTATAGCAAGTAAACGTAAATGTCACATTAAGGCTCACATTTTTAATATTCATATATTCATACTGTATATGTTGTCCAGCTCAGAAATATTTTATTGTTTTCTATTTCGCATAGATCACAGGAAATATGCAAATCACACTTTTTCTATCGAACAAGATGCAGTTTGTTTTTCCTGCCACCATAAGCCCTATAATATCACACACTTCATTGTGTTCCCTAGATGCCTGGGTGGCTTTATCAAATGACTCTTGTAATTCCAGTTAATGATGTCTTGCTCAAAAATATCTGTTGCCTCTGCTGAGTTAAGCTTGAATCTGTAAACCACAATACACACTAAATGCATTCATCCAGTTGAAGCTAGTAAACCAACACTAGAGTCTTTCGAAAAACAATCAACACTTACCTGGAAGATCAAATCTATAATCACAGGGGCATACAATTCCATTCAATTTTGAAAAGATCAAAACTATCCAATTGCTTCAATATCGCATTAGGAGCATCTAAACCTTTCTAGTATCACCAACTAGGTCGTGACACCAGTAGTGCTATAAAACAGAGTGTCTCTAAAATCTCCTAAATGTCCATACAAGTCATCTACTGCAGGGATATTCCAATTAGGTATCAACATTCTCTTTGTTAGTTGCCTTTCACTAGATTAAGAAGTACAAACTAAAGCAAGAGGTAAAAATGTATTAAGGAGCTTTTCCTTCATTTTGAAAATTAGACGCTGCCTGCAAACTGTGGAGTATCCAGTAACCCAAGCCTATTAAAAGATACTCACATTTCTTTTGCAAAGTAAATCCATTTTGTTTTGCACGTACAAACACCGCCTTGTCGAGGACAGCGAGTTCCTGTTGATATATGCAGGAAAGAGTCACTGGGTAGAGATCCGGCAGTTGTAATAGACCAAAAGAATCCATCCCGAACAACTTGCCCATCCTGTGAAACAAGGCTGTCAGAAGCAGAGGACGCAACCAATCCTGCTCAATCTGATTGGGGGGTGAAAGGTGTGGCAGAGAAACCATTTGCCTAACTGCACTCTCGCATTCCCGCGTGCTCATCCACTAGATATTTAAATTCTGAGTCAAATGTGAATCACAACTGGAATCTTGCTCCACCCAAACGGTATCACCTCAGGGTTTACCCACAAAGTTTGAAACATAGTCCTTTAACAAAAGCGCTTTTCTGCACAACAGTCCTCATCAGAATTACAATGTAGAATGATAACTTAGGCACACTAATTGATCTCTTTGTATTTCAGAATTCTTATATCTAATCTTTCAAAGGAATATTGTGATTATCTAGTAAAAACTCATTGCAGTGACTTGCCCTTACTCTGCACCTGTGTCTGCCTAGGAGGTGTGAATGGTCTTCATAGTATAACCCTACCCACACTCTAGATAAGGGAGAGAACAGAAGACATTTGATACACACTTTCTAAATCAAAACTGGGTTAGAAATAGGACAGACGGGCAGTACTGTTGTCTCATTCCTCTGGAGTTGGGGGTTTGAATCTCACTTCCTGTGGAGTGTGCATCTTTCCCCTATGTCATGCAGATTTCTGTAAAGTACTTTGGTTTCTTTCTACTGTCCTTCTACTATTGAAAGCAAAAAAAAAATCTTCAAGACATATTGTGTTTTTATGAGTCTGATAATAGATATCCTTATCTCGGTTTAGCCTGTTATTGAAGTAATTACATTACTAAGTCAGTTCCTGCCTAGTGAGACTGAAATCAAACCTCTCGAATGGAAATTCTGTGATGCTTGTATCCACCACCACAATGGGCTGAACATTCAGAGTGAGAAATAAAAGCACCACTGTGACAGATGTAAAGTGATACAGCACCAGGGAACAAAAGGCTCCTTCAGTGCTACTTTGTGGAAGCTGTGCAGCTTCTTCAATCCGTCCGAAACAATGATTACAAAAACTGGCCAGGTAAGGTTACAATAACACTGACTGGCCAATGTGCGCCCCAGAGTAGGGACCTGAATCCTGACTGGTAATGAGTAATCAGTCATGATTATTCAATATCAGTATCAGGCTAGACGTAAAACATGCATTTGTACAATAGCAAATACTCTAATGAAAAACTGCATTTTTAGGGCAGCAGAAATTCCAGTACTATAACACTGGATAGTATTGTAAATTACATTAGAATTATAGCTGAGAAAAATAAAATTAATTTAGTTTATATATCTAGGAAGTCCTGCCTCCACATGTTTTAGTGTTGCCAAATGGCATTCTATTTTGAGATCCCTGAGTAGATAATATAAAATGTATTAATATCTTAATAACTCATATGTCTCTTGTGCACTTCCTGCATACAGTTATATATCTCTCATCACAGCACCGCAGCTGTGGAAGACCCAGCAATGAGACGTCTGTCTTCCACTCACAATGGTCACATCTCTTTCACCTGATGTGGTCCGTGCTGCACAGGAGAGACCAAGCGTATGCAGCTGTTTGCAAACACAGGAAAAAAACATGCCTGAACCACTACTGCAGTCCAAGACACCAAGCTACAACCACAGGAACATAAAGAAAAAAGGAGAGTAGTTTCTCCAAGACCAACTTAAATAAGCTTTTTCATTTTTTTCCAAAGTGAAAGTATTATTTAAAGTAGTATTTAAAATTACACCTTAAAAAATGTATTTTGTTTTTCGTAAATGCATGCAAAGATCAAACATCTACTTGATTGGTAACAAAGTGAAGATTGAAGAGGTGGGCTTGTGTTTGTTTAGTAAATCAACATGTTTAGCAAAAGAGACTAGTAAGCACAACAATGACATTTGTTCTGGAGATATTTATAGAGAGCGCTGTGGGTGACTGCCATAGGACACTATCTCTGTGGCTATGCTTCCAAACCAATGTGACCCTGGTTGTTCATTCCACCCATTTAACACAATGGCTGAACTGCAGCAGAAATTTACATTACACTTCCTGTTTCTATGCATCAGATGCAAAGGAAAAGGTTTTTGTAGTTTCTCATCTCTGCCAGCAGCCCAAAGAGCTACCCGGCTTCTGGAACAATCAGTTGAGAGGACAAGAAGTGCAGGAAAACCTCTTAAGAACATCTCTGCTCTACTCAGTGAATTTTCCCATAGATAATGAGGCACTGCATGACAAAGCCCGGGTTGTTAGTTCTGCAAGAGACTTGTTCTGTAGAGCTAGAGTTCCATACTATCAGGACAGGAGATTTCTCAAGTCACTCTGTGCAGATAGGATCTGCTTTGAAGGTTGGCATGAGCTGGAAAAACATTTGTGAATTTATTACCTGAATAGTTACTGCAAGAACTCATCACACCAGACTTTTTCCTTTCATGGAAAGACCACAGATCAAAAGCTGAGGCTGAATTGTTGAATACATCACAATATTTTTGACTGTTTATACGTACTGAAGAACTAAATCTGTAAGTCATGCAAGAAACTTTTAAAGAAATGTCTACTTGGTTTTCATTACAAATTCATTACCAGTGATACTTATGTTGTATGATTCCTCTTATTAACACTGATATTATCGTTGTTTTTCTTGTTATTAACTCTAATGCTCCTTGAAAATCGTGGAAAATGTGTGATGCAATAGATTAAAAGCATTTTAACATGTTTTTATTCAAAGAATCAAATCATTATTTTGTCTAATCAATGTTCAGGCACCTTTGAATTCAAGTAAGTCAAAGTTTAAACACAGTACAAATAACACTGAATGTATTAAAAGAGATATGTTTTGTCTGAGATCTTTGGACACAAGAAAGGTACATGCAGTATATGCTTTACAGGTCTGTTATCCAGATGATTCTGCAGGTTTATGACATTTGGCTAAGCAGTACCAGAGCAAAGGATGCTCTTACATAAACACATAAATAAACATCATGGAAATAAAATGAATAAGTAAACCATAACGTTATACACACTCATATATGTATCTGTCCTCTAACCACATGACCAACACACATGTGAATGAAATATTGAGTATTGTGCTAAAAATAAAAAAACGTTAGGAGAAGTAAACAGTGCAAGTTAATGATAGTTCTAACTACTTTTAATGAGAAATGCACTTTTACACATAGTGGATTCTATGGAATACCAATACAATGAGGTCACACATTAAGCTAATTCATCCTTCACCACTATTCCATCACTTGAATTGAATTTCAATCGGCCTATTTAAACACGTCATGTTGGACTATTGCCCTAACAAAACAAAAACATTATATATAAAAAAATCTCTGAGCCCGGTCACCCTGAGGGTCTGACGTAATGAAAGTGCACGATGCAAGGTGTGTTCAGTCCCAAACAGTGAACTCCTGCCAGTGTAGATCCCAAATACAGCACACTAAGCAGAAACACACTAATTCAATGTATATGCAGCTCGGTTTGACTGTCTCAATAATCATCTTACTTACCCCCAGTAGCTGAAACCTGTGTTCCCACTATCTCATCTTCGACTCAGGACAAGGTCAAAAATCAGAGCAGGTGGGTAGGAACGATGGTAAACTGAGAAACCGGTCTGCAAAAAGGAATAACAAGGGAAGTGAGGTGGTCATCTGAAATGCACCTCACAGGGTTTGCCAAGGAGAACCTTAATAGCTGCCCTTTGAATGGTTCTGCTACTTTACCTCTCGGCTGCTTTGCCTTCTCTCACTCGTTTTGTACTGCTCCCTTCTGCTGAGTAGCCTTGGACCTCCCCTTCTCAGGATAGGAGGTGGTTTCCTGTCTTGCTCTCGCTCTCTTTCCTGTGGTCATAAGCACCTATACCCCAAAAATCCCTGTAGCATCCACAGTATTCTGTTTTGGGCGCAAACAGCAATGGAGTGACTTTTCTTAATCAGCAGTATTCTGAAGCACCCAGTGATCTTAAGGCAGGCAGTTATCATTAGTTGTAATCTTTTGTTTAGTATACTATGATAGCCTTCAAATGCGGAACACCAACCAGTAATATATGTGTCATTGTCCATGCGCCATGAACCTTGTTCATTCCTCCAGTCATTTTTAAGTTTTAGTTTTAGGGTAGTGGGAATGTAAAACATTTATTTGTGTGTCTTCTAAATGGATTTGTGTGGTCAACATTTTTGGACATGTGTACAATGCCAGAGTGCAGAGGAACATCTGACCTTTTCAGCTAAACTTCAGGCTGGTGCCTTGGGACATTAGCAGGGCTTCTGTGCCCAAAGAGTTAAGAGAAGCCAGGCAGAGAGAGGAAGAGCCCCTGAGATGATCTTACACCCTCCCCCTATGTTTGTGACAGGGCAACAGAGATTTCTGTGGAAATGCCACTGATCTGGAGGAAGCAGAAATATCACAGGGTCAAGATTTACAGGGTCTCTCTCAATTATTAATTGTTAGCTCTGCCATCATGAAGGCTAATTTTATTCAGAATTCCTGCATGCGTTCCTGAGTGGGCTTCACCTTCCTCCTCTTGTCCTACATTAACCAGTTCTGTGTAATTTACCCAGTTGTATTGTACTCTGTAAATTGAAAAGGGACCTTTTCCTAATTGCAATAGATATTCATTTATAAATAATATTGATTAGCCATGCAAATGCTGGGACCCCATGCTGGGTTGTTCCCTGCCTTTGGCCCGTAGCCTCTGGGACAGGCTCTGAACCCCCGCGGCCCTGAATAGACAAGCAATTTCAGAAAATGGATGGCTGGAATGAACCATGCAAATAATATACAATACGCACATACCTAAATATATTTGTACTGCAATAGTGTACATAATAGTAAAAGAATTTACTTTGAATTACTGGAGAATATGTCATTGTCATTAACAAATTCTGATGTTTCCTTTAAAATTCTCAGGACTGAAACTGAGAACAAAAGACTGCCACATTGTCAACCGATTTCTCTGACTCAGGTCATCTCATGCTTGACAGTTTCCTTATCAAATGCAAAATCAAATGTTGTTAGAAGGGGTTTATTTTACTGGTCTTATTCTTATGTGCTGAACAGCTATTTTTGTTGTCTAGGAAACAGAGATATGTTTGCTTAAGTATGCTATAGATGCTTTAACCCATACCTCTAAATATGCATACTTGGTGTTTATCTGATATCCTACTCAAAAAAGCCTTGCATGTCAGTATAACTTTGAAATATCTTAAGATTATGTTAATTAAAACTCCCCCTACCATTACTGGAGCTTTGAACCTCACTATGCTTTTGTTCCCAGACCTGTGTCATGCCAGCAGGCAGCTCAACAGGCTGGTTTCAAAGGTTTGTCCCACACGTCTGCAAGCCGAAGCGCACGTGTTCTGGGGTCAAAAAGCCCTCTGTTTATGACCTCTCTCACAGAACAAGCATCAACTCATTCCCTGGCTCTGGTCTCAGTGCGATGGTACTGTTAGACCTCCTATTGTGTGCTCACCTTTCACATGCCTCCATCATCACAAAAAAACAAACAAGACTGGAAAGTTATCTGTTTTTTTCAGCAAGCACCATGTATAGCACAAAATGAATTACAACACAAAGGAGGGCTTTGTTCTGAGCGTGGAATTTTCAAGTGCAAACATAATGTTGTTTTCATCTGTTTCTCATTCTGTTGAGAAGTCTGTTCTGCTCAATTTCATCTTAGTATTATAACAAAGGATCTTGTCTACTCATGTTTCTGTATATTCCCTAGAGGCTTTTTAATTTTTTTAATTTCCACATTATTGCTGTCTGTTTCCTTCAACGTTCCAAAGCTAATATTTATTTGTTTATTTGACATTTTCTGTGTGCAGGCGTCACACACAGAGCAGCAGGCCCGTTCATGTGACACAAATATGTGCTCATACTCTTTTTGCCTTCACACTGGAATCAGTCATTTGTGGCAACACTCTCCCTGGCCCTGTCCAGCCTGTGTAAATCTCTGTCTTGACAATGGAGACCATGTTGAATGTGGAGTGATATTTCAATAACTGGTTTGAAAACAAAAAAATAAATAATGAACACCAAGGGCCTAAGAATGAACACAGTGCACTTGTTCTCTGCTGTATCACTTTACAGGACAATGGCTGATATCATTTAAGCAATTACACTGTCATAAATTACCCATCTTCCAGATTTTTTTTTTTCCACAAATATGACTAAACTCTCACAGATGATCTCATTTCTGGTGAATAATATCATGCCATTCTATCCATCTGAAACTCCAAACAGCCATCCATAACAAACAAGGCTTACCGTGTCCAATCACTCATTGCTGTCTTCCAGAACAGTCCAACCCTCAACACATGTACAAGAGTGCAAATACAAAAAAAGTAAACAGTAAAACTTCATTTGTAAGCAAAAATACAACAGAATCTAAACAAGGTCTAATGTGAATGTAGGAGCAATAGAGAGAGCAGCTTGTTCCTCTGACCTGATGCAGCCAAGGACTGAGCCAGAATTATTAGGACATAAGAAAGAGAAAATAAGCGGAGTCATTCTCTTTCTGTCACCTTGGAGACTGATGCTTTTTCAAAGGAATTGGCCAATGAAAAACACTGACACTTGTGCTTGCAGAGAAAGTCACGTGACAGTATGACTGCACTTGATTTACAATGGAAAAAAGAAACATGCTTAGCCTGACAACAGGCTGCCCTTATCTCCAATTTCCCCAGTCTTCTCTGTAACAGAGACAATGGCAATGACAGTTTAAAAATATCAATAATGATTGTTTTCTACCTTCATATTCTTTCTTTGTCAGTGAATCTGATTATATATCATAATAGGCTAAGGGAATGAGAAAATCGATATCAACTGAAAATAAGTGGAATAGCTATAAATGACAAGGGTTTTAGAACCAAGAGAATGCAAGTTCAAAACCTGCAAAATATGAAACACTATTTCCTGTTTCCATGTTTATGGATAGGCATATCATAATAATACATTTATAATGTCATAATGTTAATATATCATATTAACATCTTGCATCATTTCTCCCAGTCAGAGCTAACAAGATTTTTAATCTGGTGTGCATTCTTTGGCTGTTGAATAAATTAAACAATTCAGGTGTAAACATGGGAAACGCTTTGTTCTGTGTCAAAGGGCCAGTTCTTTTGCCTAAGCAATGAATACCTAAGAGCGAGGAGCTTGATTAGATCCACTTCCACTGTAGCACCGCTGAGAAGCACATTCATTAGCATTTTCATTATAGATGTTGCAGCATAATCAGGACTCAGACATTCACCTACATTTACTGGATGTACAAGTTCTGTTGGACATACAGTAATACCAGGACTGGATTCTTTGATTTTGGGCTTGTTGGATTCATGATTATCATAAAAGGTAACTCTCTAATTTACCATACAGTTCTGTACGAAAACAGTTTTGTCAAGAGATTTGCAGATGCGTGGGCTGGGATTAATAAAACACACATTCCATTTTGGATATAACTCACACACTCATGCAACACTCAGGTACAGCATCTCATCAGCTAAATTCACAATTGCAGTGCAGTGTAATGTACTAAAAAAATCCCCCAAAAAATCAGTATTTCAGGATTCAGAAGAACAATTACTACAAAACTACATCTTTGACACAGCTGTGAAGGGGCCTCCCCCCTTGAAACACAAAGTGCAAAGAGAGGCACATAATGCAGTAGGGATCTTGTTTTTGATCCCTGCTGTTCCACATTAATAATCTGTGTCGAGAAAGCATGCAGCGCACAGATCTGGCAAACATTCTGTCAGGTGGGTTAGACAGCTGGGTCTCTTCCCTCTCATCGCACAAAAGCGACATCTACTGTTGACATGGAGACATGTAGGTGGAAGTGAGCCAACAGTGCCCTGTTTCAGGCCTTTTGCATGGCTTAATGAAGTTTGTAAACTGGTAAGTAGAAAATGCATGAAAATGCTAAACTCCCTACGTTAATGACATTAAGCGTTTCGTATCAGTTATAGTCATGTGTCAATTTTTATTATATAAAGTCCCCAGCACTTCAGAAAGCAATATTTACTTGTTACCCAATGTGTACTAAAGGAGTTTGGGTGCAAATAAAATGTTGTCAAGCAGGTAGGGGGGCAGGTCACTTTGTGAAGATGGGAGATATTTACATGTATACTGTTTACCATTATTATTTCATTGTAAAATTTACAAATAAAAAAAACTACAAATAGTCTATTTTATATTCAGTGTTTTAATCTGTAGAACAACCAAAGGCCTAATGAATGTCCTTCACCTTTAGATCTGGCCCATGAAACACTTGTTGAAATCCTCTAATGGTTCGTTAAGCTCCCCTTTCCAGTCAGAAAATCAGCAAAAATATAAAAAATGCAGAGACATAAGAAAAACAAAATATAATTATGGCCATAATGTAAGATATCAGAAATCATAATAGTGTGTAAAACCCAAGGATGATCTACAGCATCCTAACAGAGTATCTCTGTGGATCTTGCCTCTCCACCTTTTCACAGAAAAAGAGCTGAGAACCACCTTCAAAAAATAAAGAGGAAGAAAGACAATATTCCTGACCATGTAAGTCCTGTTGTTTAGCCTCTGTGCCTCCCTGCTGGCCGTAGTGTAAACACCAGTTTTCATAAATTCATGCTGTAAAGCACCACAATAATCCTACTACAACAAAACCTCCAAGCAGTTCTGTGCTAGATGCCATCTAGAGACACCAAACATCAAGCATGGACCTAGACTTTTCCCTTTATATATATATATATATATATATATATATATATATATATATATATATATATATATATATATATATATATATATATATTACCCCCCCCCACCTCTGCAGAGGACTGCTTTATTGTATTGTATTTATTTATTTATTTGTTATTTAAAAATAAAAATAAAAATTCCTCAAGAGAAGGAGAGGGGGAGAGAGAGGGGGAAAAAAAGGAAAAAGGAGAAGAAGGAGGATATAGAAAGAGGGATAAAAAAAAAAACAGATAATCTGCTTCAATACCTGCTGAAAAAAGAAAACAACAACCAACATCTGTACGAATCACAATGAACATTGAATGTTAAATGTTGTTGAACATCACACATAACTAATATTACAATATACTTTTAGAAGCAACAGCTGATCAAGACAGTGTGTGTCTGTGAGTGCCTGTTTGTACACCTGTGTGCACGCCTGTGTGTGAGTGCGTTTGTGTTCATAAGGTTTCTCCATATACAGTAAATGTCTAGTAGTGTGTGTGGGGAACCACAACAATTGCAGCCCCTACCCAGAAAAGGGCAGAGGAAAGCTCCGGAGGGGGGCCATCCGGCAGCCACATCGCAGGAGCCCCAGGGGGCCATGGCGGCGAGCACGCAGGCTCCGCCGACGGCCGGCCACACCCGGGCAACGCGCACGGCACGCAGGTTCCCCCGACAACGAGTAATGTCTGCGAGCTCACGTCGTCTTTTTCAAATCTGGCCCCCTGGGCGCTAGGCGCGGGTGTTCTGTATCAGGGACCAATCGATTAAGTTCATGTGTTAAGTACTGATGGAATACCCGGATGGACTCTCGTTTATTGGTTAATAGAGTACACACTGGAGACAATTTTAATGGGGATTCAAATTTAGAGATAAGTGTTGATAGCACACAGTGCACAACAAAATGTGTCTTCTGCATTTAAACCATATGCCCTAAAGGTTATTTTATGGTTCTATAAAAAATAACCTCAAGGGACCATTCACAGAACGTTCGTAAAAGTATACAAAAACGTAACCTTAATAGAACCTTCAGGAAACGTTCCCTAAAGGTTCCACAAAATGTGACCTTTAAAGAACGTTAGTGAAAGGTAACATTTTGTGGAACCTTCTTAGAACATTCTCTAAAGGTCGGAACCTTCGGGGAACCTTTAGGGAACAATTCCTGAACGTTCTGTGTTTGCTGGGTACCCAGCCCTGCTGAAAACTACAGGTGGCAGTTCCTGGCTGCATAAAACTGGCTGTAAAGAATGTCCACCACACTGAAAATAAGCAGCAGTTTCTGACAGCATAAAATTAAGAGTAAGAAATATTTAAAGTATAGGAAGTTATTTTGATAGCATACATTATACAAATGTCCATGAAAAACTATATGGGTAGGATATACCCATAGGTATTACTGAAAATTTCTGTTACTGTAGCAAATCCTGGTAAGGCAACAAAAATGGCAGAATATTCACTATGATTGTAGGAGCTCCTCTGGTCTCTTTTGCAGACTAGGCATGATCCACAAGGTTGATACCTATATATGCATTCGTTTAATTTCCTTTTTGATGTAAATACTGTTTCTCTTCATTTAAATCAGTGCCTTGATATTTTCACATTGAAATTAGGGTCAATGTATAATTTAAATAAAGATAAATTTCCTTATAGACATTTCCCAAATAAATGACCAACTACTTACTGAATATATTTTTAATATATATTATATTTCATATGACAATCTATACAAAAACATAATTACATATTCCTTTTACTAACTTGTTTTATAATGGAACTTCGAACAATGTTTTTCCACACTGAAATTCCAATTTCTGATTTCTCTGTGTCTTTATAGCTACATCTCAAAGCTTTTAAAGGAAACTAACCAATAATGCCCATGGCAACAGCGGATAGACATGAAACATGGATATTGAGATACGGTGTTAAGCCGGGGCGGGTCTTTCGTATGGGGTTGGGCGGGGGCTGCAGCGTTCTCTCGCTCTCTCTTTCGCTCTCTGTCTGTGCACATTGTTCACTGCATTCTGACCTCACTGGGAGCCATGAGTAAATATTCGGTGACTACAGCATTTTTGGCGAAAGTATCGGCCGGAGACGCATGCAAAGGAGAGCAGCTGAATTTATAGTCGTTCCAACTGTGGTTGGGAATCTCAAAAAAGAAGAAAGGACTGAAGGGCTGGATGTGTCTGTCTTCCGCCGGGTTTGCCTGCTGAATAGAGTACTCCGCCTGCCTTCAGAGGATCGGACCGTTTCTACAAATTAGCGGACCCGTCGCTGTTTATATAAGTAAGCGTCGCTTTGCTGTCTCTCCGCCACGCTGCCGTTAACTGAACAGCTGGGCGCATTTTAATGTTTGGTCGAGCCTGGTATCCGTATTTTGGAAAAGGTTTTTTTTTCTCAGTGGAAATGACGGATCGCCTACGTCTGAAAGCATAACACAGTTGATCGCGGCGTCGAAAATGCAGCACGCCTTTTTATTTCTGGGTTTTAAGTTAATCTTCCGCACATTAATCTGCCAAATCGTAATCGACGCAGTTCTATATAAATTGAGTTAGATTGACTATGGCCCCACCTCCCGCAAGTTAAGAGCACAGTGAATTTTGTAGTTTTTATTATCTGAAAACTTAAATCAGTCCTTCCATGAAAATTTCCTGAATCTTTACTGCTACAAATAGCTGCTTGCATGCGGCAAATTAAGATATTGATTTTGCACATGTGCAATTGTGCCATGTTGGTGAAATTCTTTATCGATCATTTCTGCTAGTTTACTTTTTATTTTATTCTTGATTGCGTCTGACTGTGTCAGTTGCATGCAGGCTAGCCAGGGGTGACGCCCCGACACCGTAAAACTGAAAGCTTGAACTGCGGAAGTCGCATTCCAGTACTGGCGGTTGATTTCCACTAAGATCTGTGCCCTTACTGTTTTTAAAGGTATGCTTATGTTTTCTCTTTCTAACCCCCCCCCCGTTATTAGACACACGATCAAGTTGCTTCTGGTCGCCTCTATTATTTAGAACTCAGGTTGATTTAAAACAACGCGGCACATACGTTTTTATATGGATGATACTTAACTGCCGTTTACAAAGCAAATTATTTATACAGGCATTAATGAAACAAAAGATTAAGCGTGATATAACACGTACCCCGTTGCGAATGGCATCATTTTGCTGTTTTTTGTAAGTCTTTGACTTATATGGAGTTGATACACTGGAATATCGTCATTGTCACCCCAAAATTGCAGGTGCTTGTTGGATGCAAGGGTTTGTAGTTTATTGAGGAGTGGCCATTCCAAGTAATTCACTAGGTTATATAGTTACAAAATTAACTGTTATGACTTAAGACTTAAGAGTAACAGTATCTGATTTTCCAGCGCATATCTATAGCTCTGTTGGTTTCTGCTTACAGTACATGCTCACTTTGTGCAGAACAGAACGTAAAGGTGTCCTCCTCAAGATCAAGACCTTGGTGCTGGCTTTCAAAGCCATTAATTGAATGGCACATACCTCTGCTGAGGTCTGCTCATCAAGACTTATGTTCTATCTCTCCCTCTTTGGTCTGTAAGATAACAGTGCTTGGTAATCCCACTGCCATGTTAACATAAGTCTAACTAGACATTTGTGGTTCCTCTGGAATAACAGGCTTCCCATCCACATCCCATTAGCAGAGTTCCTCTAAGCCTCTCTTGAGAAACACCTCAACTATAACTGCACTTATACCCAAATTAGCCCCTTGACAGCTGTATGTGTGTGATGTACCATCACTTTGCTTGTACTTCACTTTGGACAAAAGTGCCTGCTAAATAAACATGAAATGTATACGAACAAACTAGTGACTGTATATTTTATTGCCGTCTCAACTAGCAACCTTTTAAAAGGTCCTTAAGAAGTTTTTATTGGATAAAAATGTTATTTGAATGGACCCTAGAATGTCATGACATTTGACTTGTATCACTTTCTTGATTTGAAGGACAGACTGGGAGATATTTTGTACATTCAGGGAGTCTGTGAGCATAGGTCGGCTTTTAGGAGAATTTTCCAGAAGCCCAAAAAAGTCTCACCTTTGTCAGAAGTTGCCTGAAACTTATTAAAGCAGTTAGTAAAGCAGTTATTAAAGCAGACCTTTGATCACAGGATCTCTTAAAGCTGCATTTCACACAGAGTAATCCAACTTCTGTCTGTTTGTGTGAATTGTGATGGGTTGCTTTTGAAGCTCATCTGTCCATCCATCTTTTGACTCAGGGGTGGGCAGTCTTATCCAGAAAGGGGTGCTGTGTATGTGGGTTTTTTATACCTGGGTTTGAACAGCTGACCTAAAAGTTATCCCAAAAACCTGCATACACATGGGCCCTTTGCAGATGAGATCACCTATCCTTGTTCTAACTGATTGTCTTTATTAGGGGCATTGGGGAGCTGGAGGCTGTTCCAGGTAGCACAGGGCTTTGGAAGCTTGAAGTATAAATGAATGGCCATATTTTTTTCTAATACATTTTTTTTTAATACTGGAAAAGAATTAATCTCCATTTTGACATGTTAACTCATTAGTATAGTGAGCTGTCCAACCCTCATTTTTAGATGGCCTTTTTTAAACACACTGAGCATGTAAGAGCTTTTTCAGTAATTATTAACTGAACTCTAGTGCTAAGGCTATGTAAGGATTACTGGAAGATCTGTATGGGGCTCTGGAGACCCAGAACTGCACTCTACCGTTTAACACAATTAGACAGATAGACCCAGAATGGCTGTACCTTTTAACACGATTCTTAGGTTGTTTGCTTTTGGAATTATATACTTTCATGTTCTTTATTCTGTTCAGCACAGACAACAGAGTGCAAAAAGTGATACCTTTGTCTCAAATCTTATAGCTCTTTCATATTGGTTTATATAATATAATAGTTTTTTCCCCAGATGACTGTTGTGCACGTGCGCACACACACACACACACACACACACACACACACACAAATGAGAAAAGGGAGAAACTTTCCTGATCTCCTTTGTAATTGAATGAAACTTCTGTAAATTGTCCAAACGTATACTGATCACAGCAGAAGTCAATCTATTGATTACAGATAGTTGTGTTTGAGGTTGAGTGGTCTCAAAGGAGACACTGGATGGAGGTGGGGTATGAGTGCAAATTACCAAATCAGAAGATTAGATGAGACAAAGGTCTTGGATCATCTCCTATCCTTTCCATTGATCTTGTTGCAAAGCCAGTGTATAGATATCATTGATGGTCTCTGATCATATGAGCAGGCAGCCCTGAACTTGAGGCAAAGTATTTATTGTAAAATAATTTAAAAAAAATTTGAGTTTGGGAACTAGCAGTGTACAGGATAGATTAACGCTGACGAACAAAGCTGTAGCAAACTAGTAATAGCTTAAAAATAACATGGCCCAACTTCCAGGCAGCTACGAGAAATTTAGTGTTATAGGCTATGTGTTCATGTACATGTAAGAATTTCTGGCTTTTTTCCCCTTTCAAATTTCTGTCTATTTCTGCAGCTAGAGGCTGACTCGAGCAGTGTTGCTATCGTCATATTGCCTGCCAAGCCATACAGAAAATGGATTTATGCATGATGCAAGGATCTACCTGTTGCTTTGTAGTTTTAAGCAGCTACTCTGTGGCAAATGTATCCAGCTGACAAAATCAAAAATGCCATTCCTTATACACTCCAGTGCTGACATAAGTGTATGTCTCCTTCTTGGAGTTAGTCTTCCATGGGACCATTTGCTTTTCAGTATGTTGTGATTGACAGGTGGGTGTCTCCCTGGTTCTGTTTGCAGTGCTGTAAATCTGAATGGATAGCCAGAAAACAATATGTGATTGTAGGGCTGTGCCTGAAGGGAACAGGCATGAAACTGTAATATTAGGATCTGAGGCATTAGTGTAGCCTTGCTTCACTTTATTCTCAAGTGCCTGAGCCGTTCCAGACAGTGTGTTGATGAAGAGCTAATTAAGGTCCTTCTGGGTAAAGGTGCTAACTAGTAATATGCAAGCCTGCTACTTGTGCGTGCACTGATTAGTGAGCTTCTGGGGTGTTGTTGTTTTTTTTTTTTAATTTTATTAACCATTCATTTGCATCTATTTGGTTAAACTGTTAACCTCTCTCTGGTTTGTGTATCTGAATATAGAGGTCATATTTCAGTCAGGTAATTCCCCACCTCATAACACTACCTGTTTCAGGTGTCAGGGTTTTTTATTGTTTGGTTTGAGTTATGCTGTATTAGGCGTCAATTCGGAATCAAAACGAACTTCAGGCCATCAAGGTTAAAAGGGAATTGACTCTGTTGACTTCAGTAGATAAAAATATCAGTGGTACAATTCAGATAATTATGAGCTAGAGGTTGAATAATACATTCTGCTTCCAGGTATTTCTCTCTTTTACCTTCAGATTTAGTATACTCTCAGAAAAAAAGGGTAAAAATTTGGACCTTTGCTTGTCACTGCGGCTGTACCCCAAAGGATCTGCCAATTGTACCCTTTGCTGTCTGTAAGTGTACCTTTTAAGGTACAGAAATGGACTCTGAGGAACATTTCTGTACCATTGATGGTACGTTAATGCTGTTTGTACCTGTTGAATGTTCTTCAGAGTCCATCATTGTAGACTGAGTCCATCTCAGTGATTACTTTTGATTTTCATAGAAATGGAAGGGAAAACATTCAAAGCTTTTTGTGTTTGGAGGGATATTTCGAAGTCTGCTGTATAATGAGTGAGTAGTGTTCACAGGTTTCCTGCAGCCCGATGTTTCCTTGTATCAAGCCGGAAGTTTGCAAGTTATTAGTCAGGAAGCAATTTCGCAGATATAGAAGGGTCATTCATCTAGGTCCCACGGGGCATGACCTTCTGGGGGCACACCACTTAGTGGGAATTGTCACCCCAGTCTGGATATGAGAACCTGAGGGATGCTGGCAAAGCTTGGTGAGGTTGGTCACTGCTTCCCTTCATTGTTTTATGGCACCTGTGCCCTGTTTTAAAATGCAATACAGGAATATGGGATTTTGTGTGCTGCAGAATGTAATACTTTGTCTGAAGCATTGTTTTAAGGTAAAGGTACCTTTCTAGGTTTCCCTTGGTCCTATACTGTATCTAGTTAGAACAAAAATAATGTTAATGATAAGCAGTGGAAAAACATGACAATCAGCGGGAGAGGGGAGTACTATTCTCTGACATTTGCATCTTCTTTTCTCTCTTTTGTTTCTGTTTAGTAAGATCATGTCTTTTTTTATTAATCAAGCTTTGAATGCCTTATTTATAGCTAACGTTTGAATAATTTCAGACATCTTTTGTTTAAAATGACAAAGGTGTTTGAGTGAAAATGGCATGCTTTTGTTGTGCGGGCTGATTGAAATTCCCAGGCTTCTTGGTGCTTGCCTCCTTATTTGGTACAAAGCTGAAATAATCTTATTGACAGGAGCATCAAAGATGGTGAGCAGAAAGGTGAGGTTTAGGTGTTTCCTGGTACTTTCATTTGTGGGTCAGCATGAGTTGTGCAACTCGTTGCTGACAGTGATATGAAAAGCTAAAACGGGCACTTAAGTTAGCTTTTAAGCCAACATTGCATAACACCTCTGTTCATGCTGACATGGGATCTATAACGTAGAGTCCAAAAACGGGAGAAGGGTGTGTGGCCCTGTGGGTTAGGTCCCTACTTCAAATGCCTTGGTCAGCAGGGTGATATCACCATTGGGCCCTTGAGTGAGGCCCTAAACCCCAATTGCCCCAGGGACTAACAGACCCTCCATTCTCACTTGTACAGTATGTTGCTTTGGATAAAAGAGCTGGATAAGTAATCCTATGTAAATAAGTAGATGAGCAGAATTAAACATGATCAAGATGCTTTGGGTTGGTGAGATAGCTGTTGTGTTGCTTAGCTGATATAGCCCAGTTCCAGGTGTAAGAGGTAGGTAAATGATAGTGTTTTCTTCCACACCAAGCATAGTTTAACTAAGTCACAAGATATTCTAAGAGACCCAATTTTGGTCATAACTCAGTTTTAATATAATATGCAGTTAAGGTGTTTTGTCTTTGTATGGCAGAATTGTTAATGCAAACACATGCATAAATTTACTGTAGTCTTCGTGATCCGGACCAGTATAAGCAGTTAGACTGCTAGAAGATTGATTGATTGATTGATTGATTCATTCATTCATTCATTGGGTGTGAATTGACTGTAGCTCCACAACTGTCAAATGCTTTACTTTGGGTCCCAAAATAAACTGCGAGAATCACACTCTGTGTAGGTGTAGAGTAAGAAATAATATGGACATTTATAATTATGCTTCATGCATTCCTTCCTAATTGTGCCTCTTCAGCTTGTTTTATATTGTTGGTATGACTATGAAAACTGTCAGAACATTACCGATGTTATACAGCTTGCTCTTCTTAGTTTTATGGGCACTAAGGGGTAGGAGACAGTGAAAATGGTGAAGGATTGTCTATGGCAGTGTTTTATCAACCCCGTGCTTGGGGACCCCCAGACAGTTCACATTTTTGCTCCCTGCCTGACAGTTCACATTTTTGCTCCCTGCCTGACAGTCCACATTTTTGCTCCCTGCCGGACAGTTCACATTTTTGCTCCCTCCTAGCTCCCCATGGACTCCCTTGGGGGTCCCAGAAGACTGGTCTGAGAAACACTGAATGTTGGAAAAACCCATGTATACAAAGGGAGGGCATGCAAATGCCGAACACAGAGGTGGGGAAAGACATCAAACTAGTAACCCTGAAGGTGTGAGGCCATAAAGCTACATTGAGCTATTAGCCCCCAAAATTGCCATATAGTGATAACTGATTACGTTGATTATGCACAATATATATGAAAAAAAAAAACAGAAATAACTGACATTGACTAACTATGGGTTTTTCATCAATATTACTTAATTACTCTAGATTTTACATTAATGTTATAAATGCATGTAAAGGAAAGTAATTGTTTCTTAGCACACCAATTTGTATTATTTTAAGGAGCTGCTGATGTAGCACTACAGTTGATCCTTCGTCATCCTTTCTCAATCGCATTTTCAGTACATCACAGGGGTCTGCATAAGAAGTTAGATGTGAATTTCTTGGGAACTTTAGTGAATTTTGAGGAAGCCACAAATGACACACAAAAAGTTTAGTAACTGATAAATGCATAAAATATATGCACAGAGTTGAGGCTGCCAAGCGTATTTACAGCAATGTTTCACTTGAATAGAATGGAATAGAATAAAATTTTGCAGTAATATTTGTATCCTGTGTTTCTTGCATCTTTTTGTATCATTTTAGTGCCCTAAACTGTACTATAATCTGAAATGCTTCGTTCTGCTTGCCTCGCTTTGTTTACCAAGGGCACCAAAATGCAGTTTTTCCAGATCATGGCAGGGGCTGTGCCTCTAAGCCCATAATGTGGAAAGTTGACTGCAATTTCTTCAAAGAAGGAAGCAAAAATGTGGGGTCCCTGAGGACCGGTTTGTATAGTGACCAAACAGACTTCAAAAATTTGAGTAGTGGCTTACAAGTAATTCTATTCAGATAACGATTCCAACTCCAGAATTGTTTTATATAAAACTGCTTTATACTTGATGGAAAACATAATGTTGTTTTTTTCTTGATGATGACCCCTCCCTTGGTGACAGTTTACTTTTGAATACCATAGGTAATTAACATAGTGCTTGCTAACAGACATGGTTGGAATCTTTCCATGGCCATTAAGGGGAATATATGAGTATAAACTGGAAATTTTGGGTAATTTATACAAACTGTATCATATACAAACAGATATAACTATTTTGTTTTGTCATAATCAGACATGCATTCAAACATTTCTAATACAAATTTTAAAAATGACAGACAGTAAGGAGGCATTTTGGTGTCTAATATTGAATGTTTATTGTTTGTCCGACTGCATTGCTATAGATGGAAAAGTGAACTGTGAGAAATTAAACTTATAATTGGCATTTTAGCCACAAACAACAATGCTTTAGGACGTTGCTGTGTTGTGTGCCGTGTCCCAGTTATACCGAGGGGCGCATTCCCTTTCAACTGTTTCGATGGAGCTCGACATCAAACAAATGTATGTAAACTTCTGTGAATAAATACTGGGAAAATATCACGTGAATGACTTCCTAATGAACAGAATGCTATGTTTTGTTTTTATAAGGTATAACAGGTGTTTTGTTTGTAATAAATGAGGGAATCGATTTATTGACCAAAGTATGTTCGACTGCCATGACAGGTGGCGATATGGCTCCTTTCAACTTATTAATACTGGACTTTATCCGGTTGACCTATTATATCACAGATGTAAAAAAATTATATATATATATATATATATATATATATATATATAATGATGATAATAATAATAATGGGTGTGTTGACAAATGGACAAAAAAGGTAAACTTTAAACTGATTTTCAAACATATACTAGATCATTTTGAAAGGAATACTCATTAAAATCGCAAAACTTACTAAGTTTTTTTTCCCTAGGACAGAGATGTTTTAGCGAAAATTAAACTCCCTGTGCTATAATATCCAAAACAAACTGAAAGTAAGAAAAAGCCAGATTTTAATCTAGTTCATTAGCGATGCAAGAATTGCATGTGCATAACATGCAATGTTGGTATTAATATTGCACATTGTCCTGTCCTGTGACGTCCAACAGCCATTTTTCAAATTCAGTACAAAATACCCTGTGTGATGTCATTCAGCACCGGTACCAGTTTTTACTCCATTGGAAAACCAACACCTTGAAGTACTGTACTTTTGGTACTTTCCTGAAGTACAGTACCTGGTGCGGTGAAAAAGTACCCTTCAGTCGAGAAGTGAATTGACAGCTTTACAGTGCTGTTTTTATTTGTTTATTTTAACAAACAAGATGCATGCTATTCCTTGTGATTATGGCGTTATCCAAAGGCAGACGACATTGCCGTATGGTGCTGGAGTGCGCCAACAACGCAACCTCTATGACCCTATGCTCCATGCTTCTTCAGTGTACCAGCTTCTTCTGTTACTTCCAGATCAAAGCCCGTTCATTTCCAGTTAATTCCCATGGAAAGTTTCCAACCTGTAAATGAGCTATGTAATGATTTATTCCACTATTCTGTTGTCTCTCCACCTCACCTCACCCCCCACAACAATCACAGCAGATCGACGAGAATGACAGAGTATAAGCTAGTCGTTGTGGGAGCTGGTGGTGTAGGCAAGAGTGCCCTGACCATCCAACTGATCCAGAACCACTTCGTAGATGAGTACGACCCCACCATTGAGGTATGGCACCATTAATCAGAGTAGTGATAGAAATATGATATTTCTGTTTCCAGATATTTTTATATGGATGAATGGAAATAATTCTAGTGATTATGCAAAATCATCATGATCTGGTGATTATGTAATAATTGTGACAGGCCTATATGTATCTTTCCTTTATATTATGTGGTTGTGGGTATGGTGACTCTGTGGGTGGTGCTGTTGTCCCACACCTCCAGAGTTGGGTGTTCCTGGTTCTATATCTGTGAAGTTTGCATGTTGTCGCTGAGCTGTTTCTGTATGTGCCCTGTAATGGACTGGCATCCCTTCCAGGATGTACCCCAGCCTTGTGCCCTATCTGTCTGGGAAAGGCTCCAGGCTCCTGTATGTTATACTGTGGTTTGGACATGGATGAATGGATTGTATGAATATGAAATTAATGGTGTTCCCCAATGGAGGTCAGGAGATCTCCTTAACTGGACATTATATAATTTCCCTGCTGCAGGACTCCTACCGGAAGCAGGTGGTTATTGATGGAGAGACATGTCTGCTGGACATCCTGGATACAGCAGGTCAGGAGGAGTACAGCGCCATGCGGGACCAGTACATGAGGACAGGCGAGGGCTTCCTCTGTGTCTTCGCCATCAACAACACCAAGTCCTTTGAAGACATTCATCAGTACCGGTGTGTGCAGCAAGACAAACGCTACTAGCTAACTGAGCAAACTGTTATTGTAGTTTTGAGCAGAAGGTGTAACCTGAACTAGTGCATCACTTGTACAACTGTGTAAATAGTCGGCAGCAAAACTGTACAATTTGTAGGATGATATAGGTGGAATCTCACAAAGTATTAAATACTCAAAACTTTACTTTCCATAGCTTGTAATTCTGGCATAAGCCTATTTTCTGAAACATGTCCCTGGTATAATAATGCATGTGGAATAATCTATCATCCCAAAAGTGTTCAACCCATATCAGGCTATAGCTTTGTCCAATCAGCATCAGTGGGGCATCGATGGGAGTATGGTGCAAAAAGCTGCATGGTGGAAATTCAGCTAAGCTAAAGGATTTGTGCTTTGGGTAATGGGATTTTAATGCGGGTGGTGGGGTGGTGCTTAATTAAAGAAATTACTAAAACAGGCATTAAATTGATCTTGATTCATAAAGAGATGAGTAGGGTCCTTCAGATACAAGCTGGTGAGAAGGGCAGGGCCAATGTCTGCTGAAAACAGGATTGGGAAAGTTAGTCTGCAGATTGTTTGTTTCAAAATGCTCTGAATTTCCTGTTGTGCAGGACATGATGGGCCAGAGGTCTAGTATAGTCATGTATTATAAAGTAATGGTCAGACAGCCTTCTGGTTTCACCACCAGTCAAGTAAGCTCCTGAACATCCTAGATGTGTTCCTAGTTTTATATTAGCGCCAATCCATATCTATTAGATGGATCTGTTATCGGCCATATGTGACTGATCCACTTCCGATACTTACCTATTTAGTTTCCGGCAGTCTGTTAAAAGACAGCTCCTATTTCCTGTTAAATTGATTTGTACAATCAAATGCATGTTAGCACTTTCCCATTTTAGATGTTTTTTTGCACGCTAATGCTGCCATTCAGTTGATGTGAGTGCAGTGACTTCCACCTACTGTGACGTCACATGCATCAGCTAGAACATCAGATAAGACGGTGACGGTCTGGAAGCATTTTACGCTTTTAACTACAGCTAGTAGCACAGCACTTTGCAATCTTTGTAAAAAAAAAAAAAAAAAAGTTTTGAGAGGTGAAAGTAGTGTTTAATGGAAAATCCCACTAAACAAAGCACACACAATTGTGCAAAACAACGTGATCGAGTAGAATGAAAAAAGCAATGGATGCTTTGGGAGTTGCTAGCTTAGGCTGTTTTGTGCACTCGTTACAGCTTGTGATACACTAGGGGCTGCTATTGCCAACGAGAGAAAAATTGTAGGGCATTGTAAGCCTTCACCACCTATGTATACTCTTCTAGAACATATTCAAATTGAACTGCAAATGCCTCAAAAATGCTTAAAACAAGATGAGGTGGAAAAGTACGTTATGCATGTTTCCAGCAGCCTAAAGATTTTTGGGATATATTTTTTTTCATTTGTATTTGCTAGTTAAAAAAACATTTATATAAACTATAAATATTTATATATTAATAATATTTAAAAATGTAAGTAAAAATCCCTTGTGTCAGAATATGTACCGTATCAGCAGTTATGTATCGGAATTGCTTTGGAACTGAAAATCAGTCCATCCGTAACTAGGGATGCACTGATTGCAATTTTCTTGGCCGATCCCGATTTTTTGGTATGTGTGATCGCCCGATACTGATTTTTCCGATACCGATTTTTGCCCTGAGAACAGCAAATACATACAAAAATCACATTTTCTTCACCTCAAAACTTTATTTTCATAATAAACTCTTATTAAACTTTACAAATTCAAGTAAATCAAACTAAAACAAATAAATAAAACCCCAACTACAACTAAACATTAATATATTCTTTAAAATAATAATAGGTGCAGCAAGTGTGTGCGACATGACACTAGATTAAACAACTTTGACGTCCTAAAAGTAATGCCTACTTGCTTCTTCTATATTTTGGGCTGAGGTAATTTATTAGATTTCTGAAGCCTCTGTCCTCAACTACAGAAAACGGCTGGTCATCCACTGCCATGAATTCCATAATTTTCCTCGTAATTTCTTTCCTCTTTTCACTGCTTATACCAGGGGTGCCCAATACATCGATCGCGATCTACTGGTCAATCGCAAAGGTCTATCATTGCTATTCCGAAGAAGGGAAATGTGGAGCGGCATTTTCGAACTGTTCATAAAAACTACATTAACTTCCCTCTGAAAAACGAGCTGAGAAAAAGAAAAAAAGAAGGAACTAAATCCCAGTTCAATTCAAAAATACTTTATTTATCCCAAAGGGAAATTGATAATAATAAAGAATACTCAATATATTTACAAATAAATATATGTTTTGCATTTTTATAGTAGGTAGATCATTTTCACCTGGTTATTTATAAGTAGCTCGCAAGCTGAAAAAGTGTATAGCTTTGTCCCTCCTTGTGTTTAGTGGAATAATTTTGATTGAGTTTGATTGCTACAGGGAACAGATCAAGAGGGTGAAGGACTCAGATGATGTGCCCATGGTGCTGGTAGGGAACAAGTGTGACCTTCCGGCCCGCACAGTGGACACACGGCAAGCCCAGGAGCTGGCCCGAAGCTACGGCATCCCCTACATCGAGACCTCTGCCAAGACGCGGCAGGTAGGGAGCAGTTGTTGGTGGGTTGTGATCAGTGGCGGCTGGTGAAAAATATTCTAGGTGAGGCTGTTTGTGTCATATTCAGTCAGTTTCAGTAACCATCCAATACGATTTAACACAAACTGCAGGATACCAGTGCTCTGAGAAATAATAAATATTTCATTAGCATTAAAAATCAACAGCTTAGTAAATTATGAAAAATATCATTATGGGATTCGCATATTTTCTGAATCTTTAAAATTTCACCTGGAAACATATCGAAAAGGACATTGTTATCCTTTCACATCAGGCAAAACAGCCACTTTGTATGACAGGCAGCATTAACTGGGCACCAGCAGCGAATTGAGATGCAGCAGTCTGTCAGCTCAGCATCACAGACATCAAAGCAAAAAAAAAAAAAAACCACAGTTCCTTCAGCTAAATGAAAGCTGCACATCCAGGGATAAAATAATTTGATCAGCAAATTACCTTTAGTTGCTTTTATTTGCTTGAGTGTTACTCAAGTCGTTTGAAAAAGCATATAATTAACAATATCCTCACAACCATTTCGCTTTTCAGAATGTGTGGGTTACAGCCAGTAACCTCCATTCTCATATTTAAAATATGGGGTATTTTACAGTGGTAATTTAAACACTGTGGCAGGGTGTGGCTCAGTGGGTTGAGCCTGTGTGATTGTAATCAGAAGGTCACTGGTTCAAACCCAGCTTCAGCATATCTGCAGGCCCTTGAGCAAGGCCCTTAATCCCCGGCGCCCCAACAGGTGGCTGCCCCTCGCAGACAGCTTATTTTACAAAGAGCAAGTTGAGGGAGGTGTAAAGACAATTTCCCCATGGGCATCAATAAAGTATTAATTATTATATCATTGGCTTTTATATCATTTTTAATTATTTTGCTTTTATAAAGTTATTTGGTGTCACTGTATGCAGTGCAGTAAATAAGGCAACTGCACTATTGCACTAGCTCTGCTAGTGCACCCCTAGTGGTCTCATGCCCCCAGCAAATGCCCAGGACTGAATGGGGCAATAAATATATCACCCTTTAGGCATCCATTTCGAGGATGCTGATTGGCTATTTTTATCTTGCTATGTGGATTTCTTGTATCAGTAATTGGCTATACTGCTGCACAGAAAGAAGAAATATTTGAATAAGACTGAGTGAGAGGGGAAGGACCATGAAGCTGATTTTTCCCTAAACATAAGGATTTTTTAATATATATTACACATTATTATGCATTTCCAACACATACACACTTAAAATAAGTAATTGTTATTTAAAACTATATATTTTAGAAAGAAAAATAAAAAATCCCTTAAACCAGGGAGGATGATGCCCTAGTACCCATACTGACCAACCGCCGTTGGGCGTGGTTGCTAGCATGACACGCACCACCCACAAAAATTTCCTTAATGTTTTCATTGCCTTGTAGGTATTATCTTCAAACCATTCATCAATGCCATTCTTCTTGTTTGTTCTTCTTATCAGTATGAATTCCCCATTACTGTGCTGTTTGCTCTAAGGGCGTTTTTCCACCGCACCAAGTATGTTACTTTTGGTACTTTTGCTTTTCCATTCACTTCCGGTCAAGTACCAGTACCAGAAGTTCCAGTACCGAAAGTGCCAAACCAGCTGGGGTACTTTTTTGGTACTTTGGGTGGGACTTGAAACGCTTTCTTTTGTCGAATGGTTATGTACAGGGATTGAAATAACTGGTACGCAAGTATGCATTCACCTTCAAAAGCGATACATACAGCAATTGATTGTTCTAACAGTGCAAATACATACTTATTTTATGTGCATTTGCGCCAATATGACAACAAATTGTCGTGCATTTTAACCTTTATATGCTAATTTGTACTTCATTTGCGGTATAGAGGTTAATATACAGTACATGGTAATTTCTTGTCATATAGGCGCAAATGCACATAAAATACATATGTATTTGCGCTGTTACATTTATCAATTGCTGCACTTATCGCTTTTAAAGGTGAATGCGTACTTGCGTACCAGTTATGTCAGTCCCTGGTTATGTAAATAGCTGGCCATTGAAACACAATACAAATGCCGCCTTGAAAACAGTTTCGAAATCAGAAAATGATAAACGAAGTAAAAAAAAAAAAGTGATTTGGTCATAAGAACATATAGAACAAAAAGAACCGGATGACATGACAAAAAAAAGATGAGAAAGTAGGCCTATTTCATTGAATATACGCATATTGCATGGTGTTCTAGTGATGTTTGTTATAAATATCGCGATTTGATTTTGTTGTAATAAATCCTGGGGTATTTATGAAACAAAAGAGTTAATACATTTCTCTCAAACCCATCTTTGAGTGATTTAAATGCCAAGGATGAAAATGATTATGATTGTCTCAGAGAATGCATGCAGCGCTTATGCAAAAGCAGTGGAGGTAAAACTTTAAACTGATTTTTAAACATATAGGAACCTATAAAAGGAATAATAAGTAAAATTGCAAAGCTTACTAAGTTTTTTCCCTAAGACAAAATAAGAGACTAAAAATATTTTAGCGAAACTACATAGTTTAAAGCAGTGGTTCCCAAACTTTCTCTGCAGGGCCCCCCTTTTCTAGATAGGAACATTATTGAGCTCCCCCCCCCCATTCAAACTACACAGGTTCAGATTCAAACTTTATTTAAAATACAGCTCCCTTTTCTAATTGAGCGAAACAAATGCAATTACAAAATATAAATGGTGCAATTTCACCACTGTGGGGGGAAAAAAGAGCAATCAATTAAAAATAAAATTACAGCATAATTTTGAAATTATGCAAATGCAGATTTAACGTTCCTGTTAATATTCATTGGCGTACACAAATTAAAGTTTGTTTTACGTTTACCGCATTTTGTTTTTAATGATAGCCGCAGGTTTCAGCCTATACTATAGCACAAAACACTAAATCATACCCATTAATTGATAGTCTCCCTGCACTTAATGCAGAAAATTTTAAACCTCGTTTTTCATGATATGGTTAGATTTTTTTTGTCCGGCGCTGCAAAACGTCGTCACGCGTCACCATGTCACATGGTACAAAAACCTTGCAAGAGCAAGACAACTTAAGACAGATCGTGCAGCACCTCTCAGCCGGCTGAACAAACTGGAACAACCTCCGTGACGACACAACTTTGCCCTTATTGGCTGAAGAATGTGACGTTTGTATGACGTTTGTATCCCAGGAAGTTCCGATGCGTTATCTATTTCTCCCGAATATCACGTAAAGCAGTGAGAATTGGTTTTCAGTTAATTTACCTGGTAAAATAAAGTTTAAATTACATAAATGCTCTAATAGTACACGTAAGTTAGTGGTTCATTTATTGTTAGTTACTGTAATGTTGCGCTGCTTTATTTGTTTAATCATCCAGTCTGTGAAGAGATTTATTTTAGGGTGGCACATGCCTCTGAGGTATCCCATTGGTGCGCCCCTCCGCAATACGTCTGCACCCCCCAGTTTGGGAACCACTGGTTTAAAGTAAGAAAAAGCCTGATCTGACTAGCGATGTAAGAATTGGATATGCATAACATGCGATGTTTGTATTAATATCACACGTCATGCAGTACAATAACATACTATAGCTATTTTTCGATTTCAGTACAAAATACCCCCCTCAAGTTGTGATGTCATTTGATGCTGGTACCAGTTTTTACACCAGTGGAAAACCAACAGCTTTAAGTACTGTACTTTTGGTACTTTCCTGCAGTACAGTACCAGTACCTGGTGTGGTGGAAAAGTGGCCCAAGTTCTCAAACCTTCATTATGGACAGTTCCCTAATTTTCCAACTTCAAACACCAAATGTTTCTAATTTCCCTTTGTCCACCTGTCAGGCTTTGCTGCTATGTTGTGATAACACGCTAAGAGATTAGGAAAGACCACCAGCAATTTCACCAAATTTTCCGAACCAAGCCTGCTGTGATATTGAGCTCATCTTCTCTAACTTCCTGTCAGTGGGCAGAGACTGCTAAGCGCCAGTTATGGTGCCGTTCCATAGCTACTGTTATATCACACCAAGTGCTCCACACATTCGTACTTCTGGTGCGTCTGTGCTCATCGGATCAAACACTCACGTCAAAATCCAGATGTTGTCATGTTCGTTACAAGTGTGTTGTACTCCATTCATCTATTTTCGAACAGCCAATCCAACTGAAGGTTATGCAGATGTTTTACTGCATCACAACATCACTGGGACGTTTAATTTTTCTTCTTCACTGGCAGGTTTTCTGTTAACAGTAAGTTACCCCTGTTGCCCTGCAGGGAGTAGAGGATGCCTTCTACACCCTAGTTCGTGAGATCAGGCAGCACAAGCTTCGCAAGCTCAACCCTCCGGATGATGGTGGGCAGGACTGCATGAACTGCCGCTGTGTGGTCGGTTGACCAGGTTTGTAGTGTTTGTAGATCTCACTGTATTTCCAACATTCATGCGGGAATGCATTTACCACTACTGACCACCATTCTTGCTGACTAGAATTTACCACTACTGAGCACCACCCTTGTTGACTAGCATATAAAATTTTAGTGGGGATATAATTACAGTCATCGCATGACAAGCAATGGTTTCTTTGATCAGTACAAAAAGCCTTGGATGCTACCAAGTTATTGTTATGTTTGCAATATGTGGACTAAAGGATCCTTTACCTATTAATTTTTGTCAGACTGTGAACTTATTAGAAACACCATATAGGTTTGTGTTCATCCACATTTATCTCTCTATTATATCCTCAAGTATATATGGGCTATACTACAGTTTATAACAATACTACAGTACTACATGTTTGCTCATCCTGTAAAGTTGTTGCACATTTTTTGTAAATATATTGGTACAGTGAACCATGACAAGATGTGATTATGTAACCGAGCATCTAATATTACCCTGTCTGTTAACTATCTGCCCACTGGCTTTTCACTGTTCCCCATATCTCTATCTAGTTTACTGAAATAGACCTTGATAAATTCTTTCTGGTAATGAATCTTCTGTTCTTTGTCTTGCAGCACAAGAAAGAGTTGTTCAGAGCTGTGTGCAGCTAATGGACTTTTAAGAAATGAAGAACTGCTAAAATTAAAAAATACCAACAACTTGCAAGAACATCATTAGATGAGGCTAAACCATTAGTTCTGGGGGAAGAGGATCTTGCCTTTTTTGAGATCTCCATTTTTTAATTTTTTTGCCAGGTTGATACTACCACTGACTTCTTTCTCTAAGTGAACACTGGTTGAAATGAATGAAGTTAATCTCCCACAGGTTCCACACCAGTCCCTATCCTGACTGTGTCACCCCTCACACCACGCTTTGTCTAGTCTACTCTACCTGCCCCCCATTAGCAAGCACCAGTCAGCTGGCTCCTCACCCTGACATTTCCATCAAAGGCTCTACCCTACACTGTACATTGGACAATCCCATTAAAAAATAGGGGTATACACCTAAAACTTTATTCAAATTGGTAACAATTGGTTATATTTATCCTTGCATAGTATATTAACATTTTATTAATTTTCAAATGTCCATAATACTCAATTTTCCATTTTTCCCTTTGTTTTTGTGGAAAACAGTTACATAGTCCAGCTTCTGTGAGGAAGGAAATCTGGAATGTGACATGGTAGTGATTTTTATGAACTGATGGATCCCTGTTCATGACATGGCCTCTGGAACATAAAAGAACGGCTGTTGCGCTGTAACTTCAGGGAAAAAAGAGAATGCATACTGCCTAATGTGTAGGCAATGCAATGAGAACAAACTTCTATACTTTCTATTTATTTGCACAGTGTAAATTGTTATGTAAATGCTACAGACCTAGTTCTTATTGTGTACGAGTGTTGTTTCACACTGGGGCAAATCCTATCTGTTTGGATGACAGGTACTAATAGGTAATGTCCTTCAGTTTACAGTTTGCCGATATTTGTGGAGTGATGAATTTATTGTTAAATATGACTCTAGAACTAATGTTTTCCTGGGTTTGTTCCTCTTGCATGTTCTCACTGGCTGGAATAACATGGATACAGAAGAAACAACTGTACAACGTTTTGCTTAAACCGTTCCTCCTCTCCTATGACTTAGTTGAGCATATGGTGTGCAGTGTAGTTGGACAGCTGATACTGCAGAATTTGGAGGGGACACTGATACTGGCCATCACTGTGTTTTATTGTGGCTCAGGAAATTGCGTTCTCACTATATGTTCAGTTTGTTTAAACCTAGACGAAATTACCAATTCAATTTAGCAGTCTGATGGGTACCCCATACAATCAAATCAACTATCAGGATAATGTATCTATATCACTTTCAGCAAGGTGAAATATTAAAAAATCTCAAGCAAATTGTAAATAAAAATCAATTTAAACTGAAAATATTATATGTGATATGGTTTGCTAGTTTTCCATTTTAGTAATTCTGTCATAAAAAATATGTGCAGCTTTCAACTGCTTATCCTGAACAAGGTCATGTGAGGTGTTGAAATGTGTTGCTTAAATCACACTCTTTCTACTGCTGTGGTCTTGCTGTGGACTGAATGGGTGCAGTCTCATTCTGCTAAAACTGCCTTACTTGTAAGCTACCTTTGCCTTGTAAATGCAGAGTTGAACACCCAGACAGTTTTCTTATAAGCAGATTGCTTTTTACATATTTGGTTTGATCTGTGGGTTACAGATAACCATTATTAAAATAACCATTGTTATTTAACAAATAATTCATAGTGTACTCTAGAGTGTTGACTACTGAAGTCAAGTTAGACCTGGTGGTCTTTCCTAAGCAAATTTGGCTTTATTCCAAATAGAAACTTCCATATGCTCAGTGATTTGCAGTGCAAAGTTGCATGTAATCTAAGTGTCTAATCTAAGCATTTTCCTTAGTTCCAGTTTGCTTTCTGGAAAGAGCTTCTCAAATCAAACAATTTTCCCGTCATAAATTTATCTCCTAGCTCTTATTTCTCCAGATGTTGTATTCAGCATTATTTAATTAGACTTTTTGCTCAGATTTTTAAAATAATGCTTCCTTTTTTGGAATATCCTGCTGCTAGAACATATGGGGGGTTAACCTCTCAGACAGGAAAGTTAATCATTACATGGTGTTCTTACACCTCCTGAGGCTTTCTATTCTGCTACATCCATATAGCTGCTAGATTTTAAAAGTGCATAAATGAAATAATGGATAATCTGTGCATGGATCCTTCTATCTAGCTCTCCACTCTGTTTACCTCAATATCCAACACCGGACCTCATTGTCTTTTAAATGTTGCTAACCAGAGATATAATGCTTTTCTTTGAACTGCTCTGGAGAAGCTGATCTCAGAAATGCACGTGAAACTGCTCTGGACCAGGGTTTCCTAATCCTGGTTTGTCGAGAACCCAATGTCTATGCTGCCTTTTTGTTCTAAACTTTGTTAATGAAGACATTGATCTAAAAAAAAGTTAGACTTTTACCTTTATGTTTTCTAGCACAAAGCATACATTTTGGGATCATCTTAATATCAGCACATTTTTTCCCCCAAAGAAGTAATTTATTGGTTAGATTTACCATGTATGGCACACATTTACATGACTCCTTGATTTTACATTTTTATCCTTGCAAATGGATCTAAATTTTTCTGTGAGATAACAGGAGAACATGGCTAGAACAAAAATCTAGTGGGTCTCCCAGGTCAGGATTAGAAGACCTTGTTCTAGCACTGAGACTGAAAACAAGTGGCATAATGGGATATATACTATGTTCTACAATTTCTCATTTCAATCTCATCTCATTTTGTTGTGTTTGTGTGTTTAATTGGTTAGTGATCAATTTTTATTTTGTGTGGATTCTGAGCCAGTAGAGAACTGACTGTACTAATGTATATTTCTAGAACTTGTCTTTATATTACAGAGAAATGTTCCATGTAAAAACTGCTACTGCAATATTCAATTTGCATTTACTAAATGTAGAACAACAAAACAATATAATATGGAAAATAATTGATTTCTGGGAGAATACATTGCCTTAAGAAATCTCTTGGTTTTCCTCTTTCTTTTTTCTGTCTTCATGATTGGTGAAGGGAGGTGAACCTTAACCTGGATTTTGTTGTATGAACAAGAACAAAAACAAAACCAAGTACAGAGGGAACGTGCAAAAAATAAATATAGTTACTTCAATGAGTCAGCAAGGACACTTGCAGGGCCAGTCAGGTAAAACATCATAGCTGATGAACTTCAAAGTACTGCTGGAGTGTTTTGCTCAGGTTAGCCAAGTTTTCAGTGGAATGATGTGTCTAATGACTTACACTTTATATCCCTTTATAAAATCTGCCTTTAATAGTCCATTTCCCTGGCATTGCCTTGATTCACACATTCTATCTGAAGGCTGTATTAATATGACAGTGTAAAATCATCTGTATCTCAAGATGCAACAGCTTTTTCTTGCTGGGAGGGGTGTAGAGTGCACAAGGCATATGTTGTGAGCAGGTGGTTAGAGAAGCATGGTGGTGAAGTTAGCCATTCTCCAAAGCTCTCACAACTTACAATTTACTTTTATGGCATTTCTAAAACACCACCTGTCATTTGAATCAGTGCCACAAAACTGAAGATTTTATCACTGAAGGCTAATGCCAGATTTATGTAGTTTCAAATACTAAATGTGCTTATTGATCAGTTCCACTCGTTCTTGACTCTACCACATTATATGCATGGCATCCTAGCTGCACAGTGTAACTACCAACTCATTTATCATTGACAAACATTTGATTTATTTTTAATGCACTATTTACAGGTTGTTGTTTTTTTTGGGGGGGGGGGAGTGGTGGTGATGCAAGCACTAAAGCAAACGTTGCCCACTTCACATATGCTAACTGCAGGTGCATTCATGTTTAGCGAACATTAAAATGACCACAGCAGGAGTGAAATCTTACTTGTGGGCAAAATTAGTTATAGGTGCAAATCTTCAAGACAACTAGGTTTATGAAACTGCATGTATTACATTGTGTAAAGCAAAGTTCTACCCTCACACCACGCTAGGGTATTGGACATATTGGTTCAGTTATATCATTTCCTCATTTGCTAGGATTAGGCCTATAGGGTAAGGGAAGTATTTATTTATTTATTGATACAAAGAGAAGCAAAATACATTGTTTCATCATTTGGATGACTCTGCAATGTTACACGCCACCACATGGGAGGTGGCACTTCTTTGTGAGTTTTATTGAACTTTATTATTAACCCACAGACAACAATCCACAAATATGTACCATGATACACAAATGTTTAACTGTCCACAAATATGTATTGTTAAATTTGTGTTGTGTAAAATGATATCGAGAAGAATACGGAGCGATTTGTATACATGAAACATGTTTTGCACGAGTTTTAATTAACATTGCAGTGTTTGTGGGTGCGCTTCACGTTCACTAGCCTAGCTGTCGTTTACAGTAACTGGCGGTGAATGGACACTTATTTATAAAGTGCAATTATTAATAAATACGTATAAAATATATGAAAGATACATGGTGTGCATCGTCCCCTATAGTTTAATGCTTAAAGCACATTTAGCTGGACATGTCTGTATTGTTTAAGTTTATACTTATTAGTCCATTAATTCTATCTTTTTGTACTTAAAATTCACAGTTTTTATTAGTAACGGAATAGCGTTGCGATTTTAAACGGACACAGCAATTATTAATAATGGAAATTATTCCCATTCTGACCTCTTAGGGTTTCCGTTATACGTATACCGCAGCTGATCTGTATACACTATATCAAATACATAAACCGGCATTTTGCGTGCTGATCACATTCAAATGTTCAACATTTTAAAGCTACAGCACACAATGACATCACATAGATGGACGCATCTCCTTTCTCAACTTTGGTCAGCTGCATGGAGTGAGATTTTCAATTCGAGATAAGTCTGCACGCACATGCACATGTATTTTGATGTATGAAACAGTATTATTATCTTGTAAATAGTATTGAGTTTGCAAACTACCCCAACGCCTCTGATGTAGCTAATGTTAGGTTTATAATGGAATGATAGGCCTATAGCCTATATTTGCCGTACGATTGCTTGCGTGGGTCTGAAAGAGTGTGTGGCACGCCAGATTTGGAGATTTGGCAACCCTGCTTTTTGTGTGCGTCTGTCTTTGACTTTCGATGGCTAGCGATTCAGTATTACTCAGCAAAGGAGCAACTTGCATTCACAATAGTTAATTTATTTTTCCCTTTACAGTCTGTTGCAAACCCGCAACCTCCTAATATTTATGTCCCGTTAGTTATTGCTTGGTCAAAGAGTAAGGATAAGACCAATAGTAAAACGCAGCGCCATCTACCGATCATTAAACTATTATTGCATTTAAACGTAATTACGTTCATTTTTGCATTTCGACGGTTTGTCAAGCTTTTCTTACTGCACCACATATTACTAAACATTTAAATAATGAGTTCACATAAATAGTAGACTGAGGGTAACGTTTTATATTAACTGATAAAGGGATGCATGTATTGTAGAGTTACAACTATTAAATATAAAAATACTATTCCAATGAATGCCGGCCTGTATCATTATTATATTTGAGATTTGTGTATAATAAATATACTAGAGCCCGGCAGTAATTTCCCGCAATTTAAATACTTAAGGAGTAAATTAAAACACGTACGTTTTTTGGTAATTTTTTTGGGAAGGGGTGGGGGTCGGATTCTACTTCTGAGTTTCTCGGTCTTCTCGCGCTCCCCCAGCTGTGTCTCCGAGGCCGCGTGATGGCGCCCACCTAACCAGAAGATAGGAAGTGCTCTGGGAGCGTGACACTACTTCCTGTTTAGCGAAACTGCTTCCTAAACAATGAACTCCTCCTAGAGGCCCGAAGTGTCTGATATGTATCGGTAATAAGCTATCGAAACAAGTAATAAAAAGTAAAATGCTGAACAAGGGTTTTCGCTCTTGTAATTGTATACCCGAAAACTAACGATAACTGAGAGTTTAAAACAGTAGATATAAATGTTGCCCAATTGAGGGTTTGTGAAATCCATGTTGTATTTCTTTTTATTAATATATTACATTTTGTGCGATTATGGCGGTTGTCAACGAAGCCGCACTCAAAAAATGCTGTCAAAGGTGAGAAGAACATCTAGGTAGTATGTGTATGAAACAGATGCGCATTGTGGTTGTTTCTTTCTTACGAAAGTACACGACTGTCTTAGTAATTATTATGTGGGCTGTGGTTTTTGTATTAAATAAAACCACCCCGATCTTCTTGTTTAGCAGTACACATATAAGGATTTGACAGTGCGTGAAATTACGTACGTAATCTCACAGTACAAGGACCCGAAACCTGTGGTGGAAGCGTATGATAATTAAGTGGCTGTGTGTTTTCATCTACTGTCCTTGTTTATCAAAATGCCAAATTATTGCAAGGAAACCACATCTTATAAGTTTAATTGAGTCTGACTGCTATATAGTTTTATTGGCATTTTAATGTGGACCATGTTCTGACTTTACAGTTTTTCTCGATTGCTAAAACACTATAACCAATCTTTTGAACTAAAATTTCAAAACCATAATG